TGAGTATGGCACAAGTCAATTGGAGTTCTGGGTTAATAAGTTGTTCCTTATGCCTCCTTGCCTCGCCATCATCATAATTCCTATAGGAGCTTGGATTTATGAAAAGGTATCCTAATTTCTAGGGCTTTGTTATACTACATCCATGACAATCCCACTATAGATCATTGGGATAGAGCTACTACCATTATAAATATTCACAGAGATATCACTGCAATTTTATGAGCAATTAGTAGTTTTCTCAATAAATTGTGTTGATACAAGGGAATGAAAATAGATCCACAGCATAGACAAAAAAGCACTTAGAATGACTCATAGAAATGACATGCAAGGACTAAAATTATAAGTCTTAAATGAAATTATGAGAATAAATATTTCTGATCTTAAATTGAGAACTGTTTCTTAACTATAATACCAACAGCACGAGAATGAGAAATGTATATCTGACCTTCATATGTATAAAGAAAATCACAGGAAAATAAAAGATACTTCGACAATAATAAAAAATTATTTGTAAATTACACACCTGATGAAGCGCTGGTTTTCACACTGTGAAGAGGTTCATAGCTCTGCAGTAAGAAGAAAATGAGATGATCTTAATGAAATTGTTTTAGTTTGCTTTCTGTTGTTACAATAAACATCAGGACCAAAAGCAACTTGGAGAGGGAAGGATTTATTTTAGTTTACAGAGTATCGTCCATCAAGGGAAGTCAAGGAAGGAGCTAAACTCAGGAGCTTGTAGCAAAATCCAACAAAATGACAGAATGCTTCTTTCTGGCTTGCTCAGTTACTTCTTATACAGCCCAGACCCACCTGCCTAGGAATAACACTGCCCTCACGGACCAAGATAATATAACCAATTATTCAGTTAAGGTGCACTCTGCAGTTGACTCTATGTTTGTATCAAGTTAACAGCTAGAATGCACTATGACAGTAACCAAAGGATACAAATAGATTTTTTTCCCTCCAAATAAGATATACAAATTCCCAACAAGCACAGCATTGGGAAAATGCAAAGTATCCACAATGACTTTCCATTTTCTACATGCGAGGGTGTCTACACTCAGAAAGGCTGATAAGTGTTAGCCAGGGTGTGAAGAAATTATAATTCTTTGAAGCTGCTTGTAGGAAGATAGGTTGGTATGCTTATTTTTGGCACTTCTTCTAATAGAATAGATTCAACAGAACGAATTGGTAATTCTGTACCTAGCAATTCCACTCCTTGCTATGTACCCAAGGAATATGAAAACATGTCTGTTTGTACGAAACTTTGTGTGCCAGTGTTCATGATAGCATTATCCGTAGTAGTCCTCAAATGGAGACAACTTGATGCCCAGCAATAAGTGAACAAAATGTGATGTGTAGTACAAAGCACTACTATTCAACTATGAAAAAGAATGAAATACAAATTCAAGGTTCCTCCCTGAAGATATCATCATGCTTTGTGACAGAAGCCAGTTACATTCATATAGTATGTTCATGTATACGTGAAATGTCTAGAACATACAATTGTATAGAGAAAAAAGCTACCTAGGAATTGCAGAAATAACTCAGCCTGTAAAGTGCTTGTCATACAAACATGAAGACCAGCGTTCCATCTCTGGGACCATGGAAAAAAGCTAGACGTACCGACACATGCTTGTAGTTCCAGCACTGGGGAGGAAGAGGAGGCGGGTCAGTTAGGCTCGCTGGCCAACCAGTTTTGTCTATTGGGTGAGTTCCAGGTCAATGAGAGACCCTGTCTCAAAAAATGTAGACAGTGCTTGAGGCACGACACCTGAAGTGGTTCTCTAGCCTTCACATGTACACACATGTTCATGCATCCACAGACCTGTCTGCACACATAAGAGCACATGCGTGCACACGCATGCACATGAAGGATTGGTGAGAAACTGAGAACACGGCTTCCTTTTGGGGTGTTGAAAGTGCTGCACAGTTGAGTGTGTTTGGTTGTGTCTGTGCAACACTGAATGTACTTATTGGATTCTACAAATTAAATTTGTACTTTATCTGATACATGAGTTACGTATTAGTAAACTTGTTACAGAAAGACATGTAGACATTTTAAAATTCTAAAGTGTAAACTAAATATAAACTGCCTGATTTGAAAGTCACACATCACTGCAGATACAAAGGGTCAGGAAGGAAAAAGTGATCCCACTCTGCTGAGTCTATAATTGTTCTGGAATTTGTTAGAGAACTATGTACAGCTTTTATCTCTACCATTTAATATGGATGTGAAAAAGTCAAGAAGATCCCAGAAATCTGTCATACTGACGACATCGTTATTAAAGATCAGTTCTTCTGAAGGAACATGAAAGATGTTGGTCCAAATTACTGCAGAAGCAGGGGGAAGCAGAGCCATATCATGAGATCTAGCTCTGTCTGCTGGTATATGACATTGTATGAGGAGACATGAACTACTTCTGCACCATTTATATGAAGGATATAATTAGGTAAAGTTGAAATAAATTGAAGTCACATCAATTTATGTCATACATCACTTTGATAAGGATAGTAATTATTTACAGGAAATTGGCAATAAGGCATTAACAAAATATTCCCAGACACATCTAAGATTAGGAGGAATTAGTGTTTTCTAAGAGTTTAAATACCATGAAAATGCCTAAATGTTTCTATATGTGAAACTATTGGGATACAAAGAAATACATATAAAATGATCACAATTAAGGAGACTTGCTAGTGACAAACACTAAAATGAAAAATGACTAAAATTTAATAATAGTTCCTGCCATTAATTTGAAGGTCAGTGTACACTGGTTTTCAGTTTCTGTGTTTTACATATTTATATAAATATTATGATATCAAACAAAACTGTAAATACAAATAAAATATACAAAATTGCCTTAATTGCCTTAGTTTCGGTGTTTGGGTCTCCCTGATTGCTTTCATTTTTCTATCACATTTTTCACCCATGAAATAGCTTTTACAGGAGCCAAGGCTGTATGAACACTCCACTTCTGTGGTTTTGTTTTCTGATTTGATATTGAGTCCCTATGATAATACAATTGTCACCTATTTCAGAGTGCTTATTTTTCACCAAATAGATCCATGGGAATTCTTTTTTTTTAATTAG